TCTCCCATAGGATCAGCCTCAAATGACATCAACAACACCAGATTCCAAGACCCATCTATACCTGCTCGCCTCCACTGACAATGGCCACACTTATATCTCTTGCTGTGTTTTCTTCCCTGAACACTAATCTCATATTTATTGCTCACTTGACACATTCTCTTCACTTTCTAATATATATTTAAAAACTTAGCTTTTCCAAAAGAGACCCGTCAATTTCCTTTGTACATGCACCGTCTTTACTCCAAAGTGCTCTGCTTAGTTTTCCTCGTCTTCACAAATAGCATATCAGTTCATGGCAGCAAGGGCTCAGGCTAAAAATCGTGGTCATCTTCACTCCTCTGTCTCACCCAAATTCCACATTCTACACATTGGAAGTCCTATGGGCTTCTGATGACCTCTCACCACTGCTACCTAGCCCAGGCCACCACTTTTTTCCCCGTGTCTTTTTGGCCCACTGCATATACTTTTCACATCATAGCTGGGGCAATTGTTTTTTGCTTGTTTGTTGTTATTGTTTTGGGTTTTTCTTTTTGTTTGTTTGTTTGTTGTTGTTGTTGTTGTTGTTGTTTGAGACAGGGTCTTGCTCTGAATAGTATGAACTCCAGGCTCTTCTTGAGCTCACTATGTAGCCCAGGCTGGCCTCGAACTCGCAGGCATCCTCCTGCTTTGATATATGTGTACAGTGCAGAGTAATTAAATCAAACTGTTTAGTGTATCTATTGTCTTACAATTTTTGTGGCGAGACATTTGAAATTGTTTGAAATGCACAGAGTGTTATTATTACTATTGTGATACTGGAGTTTAATACATTATTGTTGACTATAGACACCTTACTGTGTAGCAGATCTCAAAACTTATTCCTCTAGTCTATCTGGAATAATGCAAGAGGGCAGACCCTGTTCGCTAGACTACATTGACTGCTGCGCCTCACCTATAGGAATCTGTTCACTAAGTTTATTGGTACATTTCAGGTATAAAACATGATGACATTCATCACTGGGAATCTGTACCTTTACACGGTTCTTATTTTTTTCTCCATTCCCCTGCCCTCCCTTCAACCCCCTCAACTACAGGAATTTTAAAAGATCTTTCCTGTTGCTGCCCAGATTCCCTTATGATCAAGCTCATCTAGGACCGAAGTTTCTGTAGTACACGATTGGGCTGAGGCAGGGCAGAGACGGGATCGAGACTGTTTCTTCTACGTCAGTGCAGTGATGGGAGTGGAGGCTAAAAACAACTCCCTCTGGAGCATCTGCACGCTTCATCAGAGGCCTACAACAAAAGCCCTTCGAAGCTCGTGGGTGATGATGAGTAAGGGGTGCAGCTGCAACAAATAATTAGGCAACAGCATATTTAGAAGGAAGGAATGCTTCATTTTGGAGATTTGCAGGACACATGGAAATATACTTAACATTCACAACGTACCAAGACAAAAATAGACACGCTTTCATCACTGAATTGCAAAGAAGCCCCTCTATACAGAAATATCCAAAGCTTTCTGTCCCCATCTAATTTCCCATTCACAGCTTAGATTTAATCACCATAGAAGCTAATTATGTTTACTCTTAAACTAATCCTGCCTTTGTCTATGACCCTGAAAAAGGACAGACATATCCTCTTGCTGCTTTTTCTACCAAGTAAAAAGAAGGACATCCAGAAGCAGAGACGCCTGCTCACTGGATGCTTACCTCTTCTTGCTCACCTGGTGTGGCTGGGGGCAGCTGTACTGGATCAGCGCTCGCAGCCAGGAAATGCTCTGCTCACCTCTTCTTCTCCATAACAGAGACTCTTCACTGTCTTCTTCCTTTTTCAAATAAACACTCAGCAGACCAGTCCCTGCTCCGTACATGTGGTAGAAAAAGGTCAAGCAGTGTTTTCCGGGGACGCCTCGCAGAGGCCTGGACAGGAGGCACGCTTTCTGTCCGTGCACCATGTGCGATGCCTCGATGTACATGTAGTAGCCTTGGAAGAACACAGAGCAAGGACTGTTAAAAAGGATCCAACCACATCTTCTGGAAACATGGACGACCTAACTGCAGTAGTGAGAAAGAGTTTTATGATGCAAGAGGAAAGTATGACCCAAGGCAAACAGTAATACATACACGAATTAGACTATCAAACAATTTTTAAAAAATGTAATGCTTTATAATTCTGTTTAATAGGAGGTGATTAACGTACAAGCATTTCATCACTAACGTGGTGACTTTCACATCCAAATTTATCTAATTCATGGGCAAGAGTCTGAAGCTTTCAAATGCTTATCCCTCTCCCCAATCCCTATGTTCAAAGCCTAACCCAAAGTGCTGGGGCTGGAGAGAGGTAATCAGGGCAACGCCCCACGAATGGGACAGCCTGGAGAGTCCCTCATCTCTTCTGCCATGTGAAGACAGAAGGAGAAGATGACCATCTATGAAGAAACAGCCCCACTCCCAGACATCAAACCTGCTGGCACCTTGCTTCGTGGGCCTCTGGAATAGAGAAATCGCTTTCTGTTGCGTAGGCTATGCAATTTGTTGAAGCAGCCCAGATGAACCAAGACACAGCCTCAATCCAAATCTCACTCCAGCTCTGCTAGTGGCGCAGACCCAACGCCAGAGTATCCTGTGCCACTACTCTCACTCTCCACTTCCAGGCTGTCAGGAATTCCTGTTGGTTCTCCCCACCAAACGTGTCCCGAGCTGGGAGTGGTAGAGCATGCCTGCAATCCCAGCATTCAGAAGGTTGACACAGGAGGATGGGGAGGTTGAGGCCATCCTGGGTATGCAGTGAGTTCAAGTCCAACCTGGACTACATAATAAGATGCTATCTCAAAAACCCCAAAAACCAAATAAAGGGAGGAAAAGATGTCCAGAATCCACTCCTTTCTTACTGCTTCCATTCACCCAAGCTGCTATCATTTCTCAAATGAACTAAGGCAACAACTTCCCAGTTAGTCTGTTCATTCATTTGTTCATTCACTCCTTCATTTTGGTTTTTTGAGACAGGGTCTTGCTATGTAGCCCAGGCTGCCTCAAACTCACGAAGATCCTCTCGTCTCAGCATCCTGAGTGCTGAGATCAATGAAAAAAATTTTTTTTGCACCTGGCTTTGGAGTTCTAAAAAGGCCCACCTGAGTCCTACATAAAAGACCTTTGCTGTAGAAAGAACTCTCAGGTGGAGTGGAAGTCTGAAAGATGTGGTCAGTGAAGAACTGGAAAGTAGACTACTAGGGCCTGAAACATAGTCTGTTCAGAATAAAAAGGAAACAATGGATTCCTCACAACTGACAGATGACCCAAGAACTGTCCTTTGTTTAGTGATGATGGAGGTGGTAACACAGGTCTTTGCCAAGGTTATTTTGAGGTCCCAGATGAGAGGGAAACTCTCAATCCCTCCAGGATCATTCAATCAGATTCTTTCCTTCAAGGTACAGTGGTGCTAATTCAGCAACCCTGAAAGGGAAAAGTATTCCCCTGGGCCATCCTCTTCTGGGCAGGGTGGGTGTTCACTCTAGCTGGATGGCCGGCCCAGCCCCCTCCAGCCCATCCCCTGTTCTGTGGACCATGCACACCTCCTCAGGACTCTTGAAGTCTACTGTGCTTTCAGCTCATGCACCTCTGAGTCTCAGGCGTTAGAAACACTGTTAGGTAAGGTTTCCAGTGCCAGTAATCTTTGTGATTAGTAACGTGAAATATAAATGGAAATCCACGCCATTTGACCTCTGCAATTATGTTGCTTTTGGAACACAGGGCCATGTCCATGAGGATGGGATGGCCTTTCTGGGACACTGGCACCAGTCTAGTTTTCTTAAACAGTCTTGACCTTTCAGACATTGTTTGTTTGTATTTTAAGGATACATGTATAAGGCAGTAGCAAATTAGAACCACATAGACCAATGCCTTTACCTAAAAATAATTTTAATAAGCCAGGCATGGTGGCATATGCCTAAAACACTCACTATTTGGGTTGCTGAGGCAGGAGAATCACAAGTTCAAACCCAACCAGGACAACTTAGAGAGATCCTGTCTCAAAATAGAAAAAAAAAAGTACAAAGTCTAGAGATGTAGCTCAGTGCTACCTGGGTTCAAGGCTCAGTATTGCCAAAAAACCCAAAAAACCAAACCCACAAATCTGCCAATTGATCAAAAATTTTCCCCTTTGATTCCCAAACCAATTATTCCCGTTGATTACACTTTATTTTTCCCTTGAGTTGCATATGAGACTTTCTTTCCCAAGAAAAGATCAGAGCTTAAGGGAGGGCTAGTCTGCCTCACATATGTTTGGAAAGCAGAGAAAAACCCTAGGTGTTGACAAGTTTTGCAACATTACAGCCTCCAGCACTGCCTGTCTCGGCAAACAAAAACTCTGGACGGGAGCCAGAAGCCCCAACATTGACACTTTGGCAATCAGCTCATGTGTTTCTGCACATGAAGGAATCCTGTCTGTAGAGGAGATGATCAACTGGAGAAAACAAATTGCTTTCCCTGTGTGAGTCACTGTTTAACACTCAAGATGGGGTTCCAGTGGGTCTGCTGGGAGAGATCAGAACCCCATCTGCACTTTGCATCACACTATGATGTGTGGAGACACACAGATACCCGCCAGGCCCACAATCCTTAACTACAAAGCAGCTGTCCCTCAGCTCCTGGATGCCTTTTTCAGGGCTGCAAGGAGCCCCAGTGGCTCGGTGAAGAGGCCATGTGGAAGGAACAGCTAGCTGCCCTCAGTAAGGTGGAAGAGAACACCTGATAAGCAGGGGAGAAAGACAGCCACCCTTTGACTAGGACAGTTGCGCGAAGTGCCTCTCCAAAATGATTCTTTCATTTTAAATGATTTTAAAAGCTTGTCATAAATGAGTATGGAACTCCAGTTTTGGAAAATGATCAATTTTGGAGACAGAGGGTAGTTACTGTTGCACAACAAAGAGACTGAATTTAGCGCCACTGAACTATACATTTAAAAGTGGTTCAAAGAGTAAATTTGATGTTATGTACATTTACCATAATTTTTTTTAAAAAGCTCATCCTGTAAAGCCTTCTCTGTATAAGTAGGATATGACAATATCAGAAACTAGCATGATAAGATTAGTTATGGAAAGACTGAAACTGTTGGAGATTTTGATGATCTAAAGGTAGTTTTATGACTTCAGACTAGTTTGGTAGCACTGCTACATGTCTGGATGTCAACAACGAAAACTGTTAAAAGGTAAGAACTCGAGCCAGGCCTGGTGGTGCAAGCCTATAATCTCAGCACCCTAGGAGAATGGACGAAGAAGGATCTCAAATGTGAGTGCAGCCTGGACAACTTAATGACTTAGAAGATCCTGTCTCAAAATAAATAAAAAGTGGGCTAAGGATGTAGCGCAGTCTAAAGGCCCTGGATTCAAACACTAGTACTAGTTGTTGTTGGGGGTGAGAGTAAAAAAGTCAAGACCTTGAGCTAGACTACTGTTAAATTCAGTTATATATACATATATAAAATACCAAATACCTTGTTTTCATTTAGTTTTTTCTTTTTTTGGGGGGTACTGGGGTTCGAATTTAGGACCTTGTGCTTGTGAAGCAGGCAGCAGAACCACTGAGCTAAATCCCTACCCTCTTTCTGTTTTTTATAAAGCACAATTTCACAAATACATTTTATTGTTTGATATTTTAATATATTACTATTTCACACAAGAAGGAAGTATTTTTGGAAATGAACAGTCCTACCTTTACTTAGTGTCATGTGGAAAGAAAATTTAATAACCGGAAATAATGAAGATTTATTGAAACTCTAAGAGTGTGAGAAGAAAAGAAAAGAAAAAGCGATGGTGCCTCTTTTTCTGGAATTGTTTAAAACAAACAAACAAACAAACAAAACCAAAGCAGAGCTACTTTTCTGGGAGGCAGCAGGATGGGGGAGGGAGCCTTTGATGTCAGTCTGTTCCGTAGAGGACTTAGTGGACAGGGAACCAGAAAGTGGAAGGTAATTTCTCACTAAGCTGGGTAGTTTGTCTGTTGATTTATCTGTTCCATTATCACTTGGCTACAAAATCCCTGTAAGCACCAGGTCTACTAAAACAAATGTTTACAAAGAATTCTGTTAGCATGGCATCACATCAATGTAAATAAAATGACGATGCCCAATAAAACTTTGGGAGCTTTGTTAAGAGTTGCTTTTACTGTCTCGAGAAGAAGTAGCATGGTGCCAGGAAACTTTCTGGTTCTGCAGGGTAGAACTGCTCCAGCAGATGGTGGCAAGAAATAGATAAATTCTGAGAAGTCCACCCAAACTTGTTACAAGTCACTAGCCATTTGTCACAACGCCTTTATTCTGTTAGAAGGAGTCAAATGGCATGGCTAGATTTTTTTTTTCTTTTTGTTTTTGTTGTTATTTTACTAAAACGACCAGCACTTACAAGTATTTCCCAAGATTAATCATCCAAGTATGATTTTCAGATTTTTTTGTCTTCCTATATACTACCTGTATTCATTTACTGTTTTATTTAAATGCATTCCACTTCCATTGCTTACATACCAAACAGGAAACTTCATACATAAAACCCAAAACCTAGCCATAAATCTATGAAATAATGGTTTTGATGTATTGGTTATGCATACTTTTTATACCTGGGTATTCCTGCCAAATGAAAAAAAAAATTATGCTTTTGAAATACCTGACGCTAGATATAAAGCAATTTGGGAAACATCGCTTTAAACCTTCTATCAAACCTTCTAATTTCTACTAATTTTACTAGTATTCACAGGCTATGGTTTTGTTTTTTTAGAAACACAAGTAACATAAAACAATGAGTCCAGGAAACTATTTCAGAGATGAACTTCAAATTTTATAGAAGAATCAGTAATTATAAAGACAATACTATTCATTTCATTATCAAGCCTTTTTTCAAATATAATCTTAGTTAACTGTCTCATCAACCCTAAGAGATTAGCAGAGAATGGATAATCATCGTTTTACATATGAGGAAAGTGAGGCTCGGAGAGG